TCAATTAAAACATTCAATTTATCAAAATCTGTAATGCTTTAAGAGCAAACATTTCTATAAGCTAATACTGAATACATACGTTTAGTTGCACCATTTATACAAAAAGGTTGCTTTTGATCAAAGTTACCGACAGCAGAAAGGTTTTCTGTTGAATAGGGGAAAACAGATTTATTATGTGCACATTAAAATGACTGTTAGGTATAAAGGTGGGGTAGGTAGTAGGGTCTTCTTTATGTGCAATGTATGTATGGGGCTGTCTACTGTCTGTAGGTAAATGTAATTTCGTTGACTTGATAATGATAATTTTATGCATTTTTGTAAAATTCAAATTCGATACAAGTTGGGAATTCAGTTCGGCAGAGTCCCAACGAAAACAACTTTAATAATTGTAAAACATACATTTTTGTTATTTTCGAAAATGTCTCAATAAGAGAGGTTTATATTATGTATGCATGTATGTATGTATGTATATATTGCTTCTTAGTCACTCAATAGCAGTCTTAAATACATCTACTGTAACACAATTGCGGACATTTCACGTGGTAAATACATGGGCTTTACTACTTTACCAAGTACAGTTAATGAAATTCCACTTGAGGCGGCAATTTCGGATAATAACGTCTTAGGGTTTGTACGAAAGTGTTAGCATACCTCAGTATTTCTGCTTTAATAGGCCATTAGTGTTCAACATGTGTTCAGAGTAATTTTCGCCGAATCTGTTGCTCAGCTTGGTCTATTCGAAATACTGGAGTATAAAGAAAATGCTCTAAAAGTCGAAAGCGAAAACATGTCTGCAACGTAAAATTTTAAACGTTGTCTGGAACGTAAAACATTTTGCATTTTCAAACATTTAGGTACAGGTGTTTCCAAGGGCGCTTGTTTGGCAATCATTCTGGGCTCTTTTTAAATTAGGCATTATCTTCTGTTTATGCGGACGAAAACGATAATCCATTCAATTATGGTCCAGTTAACGACCATAATGCTCAGTCTGGTTGGACATTATCCATATTGACTAGCCATTAACCTCCGTATCCAACTAATTTAGTAAATATTTACGTTTATAATACAAGAGTTTTTAAATTCGTTAATAAAAAATGACGATATTGGTTTTTAAATTGAGTCCACAAATGATAAATTTTCAATTATAGTCAAATTGGAAGCAATAAATAACCTTTTATCTTCCCGTCTTCCACTTTATGAGGATGATTTTGTAGGGCCAAAAAAAATATCTTGCCGTGGCCTCTTAAAAGAATATAAATGCTAAAAACTTAATTATTAGCAGAAAGTAACCCAAGTAGATAAGAATAAATAGTCACAGAAAAATTATTAAGAAAAATTTCAAGGGAATGCAAAACGAAAACGCGAATATTCAAATGAAAATCATCAGAATAATCATTATTTAGAAAAAGAAAAGCTAGGCAAACTAACTTACTTAACAACACGCAGCAAACTTTCTTGCTATAAAATATGCAACATGAACAGTTTTTACGGGGTGTCTATACTGGATGGCTTCATTACTAGTCAGAATTTGGAGAGAAGAAAAATGTAATATAAAGAAATGCACAAACAAAGGTCAAATGTCCGGCAATTCTTAGAATGGCCACTGGAAAACGTACAATGTCTGCAAAGCGATTGAGGTATACAACTTAGTAATCCGACTACCTTAAGGATTAAAAGCAAATTGAAAAACTTTGAAAAGTAAAACAATTTAATGAATAAATTTGTTCATGAATAAGCTAACTAAAGATTTAATTTAATTTTGTATCAAGTGGGCGCCTTTACAAAATCCTCAGCCAGATTCAGAAACACACTCATACGATCTTTAAAGGAAACATTTTGGTCTTTGATTATTCAGGTTTTTTTGCCAAAAACAGCTACTGCTTAATGCTCTTTTGTTCTTATTTCAATTTCTCCTTTTCCTAATGTCTCCTTTTAAGATAATTTTTTTCCATGATTGATTTGGATATTTAATTAACATAAAAATATTTGACTTTTTTCAACAGACCTTAATTGGACCTTGAATAGAAAATGTTTAAGAATATATCCGCTCATTATTTAATGGTCTCTCTGTTCTCTAATTATAGTAATGGTTTGTTTGGTAGTAATGTTTGTGCTTGTTACATTTTCTTTCCAAAAAGTTAAACTCAGGACTCTTTCTTGAGATTCTCACTAATAATATTTTAGACTACTTGACGATATTGTCATTATCTGAAAACACAAACTAACATTTAGACAAACATCAATTTTTTGAGTATAGCATATATAGAAAACTCACATTAATTTTTCATTCTCCATTTAGCGTTAAATTGCCTGCTCTTTGTGTTGTTGTTAATGAACTCAATTACATAGCAAGACCGTATACTTCAAATTTTGTGATTTTCGTATTATTTTAGAGCGATATTGTTCATATAGATCTTTTGCGGCAAGTCATTCAAAATCACTGTAACTTCTATAAAAAAGAACGCGCAATAAAATTCCATGAGATTGATTTCCATTTTAAAATGTACGGACTGTGCAGCGGCGATTTAACTGCTCGAGGATGAATATTTTCTCTATTTTTCATGGCATGATACTCTCTATTGCGAAATCCGTTTGAAAGCATTATCCCCGAAGCTACAATTTTCTTTTGAAATAAATTCCAGATTCGCGATTACGTTTCTCGTCCGTCCTTTTCGGATATTCGTCAAAAACAGTTTTGTGCTAGACAAAACAGTGCCTGCAAATAGTCATATGTCGCATTGTTTGAGTTTTGGCAGCATTTCACTGCAGTAAATGGAGATCAAACAGTTTTTGTATTTTAACTAGTTCAAAAGGAATTGAAGTATTTGTTTTGTCGCAAGTACTAATGATTTTAATTCATAGAAATGATTACTCAAATATATTGATTAAACACTGCCAGAAGTTCCATTTATCTTTTAGTTAATTTTATTTAATTCTAAATTTAATAATAAACCAAATTTTACGTATTTTTTTCGCTTTCGGGAAAGAGGCTGAGTACCACATAGAGGTAAATGATTCGAATTATACTATTGATTTTTTTAGATATAAGTTAACTTATGCAGTCGCGTCGAATAATTTTCGTACAGTTGTAACAGTAAATGAAGAAAGTAAATTAATTAATTGTGACGACACAAGCGTTATAAAAGATAATTGAATATAGTAGCTAATTCGTACAATATCTCGCGAAAAGAAAATTACATTAGCCTGAAAATATATTAAACTTTCAAATGCGCATGTTTTGTATGTTTTTCGATTATCCTTGCGTTACTTCAATCGTAACAATTCACCACTACCTTTACCATAAAATGTGTTTTTAGAACTCAACTTTTTAGAACCTCTAAAAAAAATCTCAAGTTTAACATTAAATCATAAGCTGAGAAATGTGGACAAAGGAGTTCTTCTCTCTACAATGATGTAAACTGTTTACTTTTTATTTTTTGTCACTATTTTTCTTCATATTTAATAAATATGTTAAGTGTATGCAAAGTCCAATTTTTATTATTTTCGGATATACTTTTGTAACTTATTTGATACTAAATACTTCGTTTAAGTCACGTAAAAGTTTTTGGATAATTTACTGCTACTTTGAAGCAAATGCATTCTAGTTTTAAATTTTTCTATTGGCATGCATTTTTTTGTCACTGTTTTTTTTAACTTGTTTGCTTTGATCTTATGCATACTTTCATGGAACGTATTTTTGGATGCTGTAATCGGTACGTAATCAGTTATTTGCTTAATTCGTAATACGGAAAGTTACCTATTTTGCTCTCATTAAATATTCGCTCTACAAGAAGCTTTTGTACATTTCCGCTCACGTTGTATACAATTTCTCAAAGCAAGTATTGTGATTTAAACATTATTAATGAAACTTTGGCGAGCGAACAGAATATAAGCCGTTATATAGACGTTATATTTTAACGAGAAGAGCGTAAATAATAGTTGAAAAGTTTGAGCTGCTATCCTTAAAATTTTCTTAGCAATATTTTCGCAACCAAAACGCAGCGCCCTCAAGACCGTGCTCTTCTCTAGAGCACTCAAGAAAAACCGTTTTTAACACTTTTGCTTTTCGAGGAGTTTTACGTTCCAGCAAAAAAAACTGGAGCGGTATGGCGAATACAAAGAACGATATTTCAACGACGCAGGCCCCTTGAAAGGAGTGTTTTTGTTTTTTATCGTCCCGGAATTTGAATGGATACTTGTATGGAACTAAATTTAGCACTTTAACTCGAGGGTTTTCCTCGGTCCGACAGTTTGAATGCAAATTTGACTAAAATGGATCAAAGAGCCAAGATATATCGTCAACGAATTACATAACAAGATTCTAAGTAAAAAGACCTTATTTCGGAAAAAGGGCAAGCAAAAAGCCACAAATTTGCCAATAAGCTAGCCTTTACTTTTACGCAATCATACTTGAAATAAAGCCACTCCAATCACCACTGTTTCGGTGTACGCTGCAAGTAGCTATGCCTTAATAATTTTAGACTTAAAATGCACAAACAATTGAATTTGGCTAATTTGTCAATCTGTTGTAGAATATATTAAAAGAGGAAGCTCGGAAAAATTTCAACTATTTGTTACCTAGTAAAAATTTAACTAGTTTTTCAAACATTTATGCGCTTCTGTGTTTCTGGTTTCTCGCTGTTTTATTATTTATATGCCTTTATTCTCGTATGGATACCTTCATAAGAGGTGAGAACCGCTGTAAGTTGCAAATATATGTACTTCTCATATTGTTTTGCTCTGGAAAAATAAACTGAAGGCAGCTAAAGGGACTCTTAATATTTAATTATGAAGAGAAATCGATACCAAAACATATCTACCAAAAACCGACTGAAATTTTTACATCAGGTAGTGCCTTAACCACGAATGTCAATATTTGTGTTTTACTTTGTACCCATTTCAACTATTTTTTATTCTCAATTAAATGTATTTTGCTCGACGTAATTGAGTTGAAATAACCAACCAACTATAGATAAGATCTGCTATTTATTTTCACTTACCTATTGTAGTTAAAACTGTTAGCGAATAGAGAAATGCTTTGGCAAATGTCCATTCGAAGTTGTCCGAATGCCGTCCACGTTCTTTGGATACCATCAGCGGTTGCTGATGTGTCATTTCCTCTTTCATTGAATTTAATAGTTCGTTTTGAAATCTGAAATACAATGCATTATTGAAAATGAATCCAGGAATAGCTCACAGAAGCTATAATAGAACCTTGCTGTATGCGCTCAAAATTTGAAAATTTTTTCAGGCACTTAACTATAATGACTTTAATGACTTAAAATGTTAACTGTAATCTTTTTGAAAGCCCTGTATTTACAGGTTGATTGAAGAAATACAATATTTTGAGGAGTATTACCTTGTGATTTCTTGAGCTGCTAATATTGTCCAATTTTCCTTGTACAAAATATTCAGCCCCTCAGTGATTATCCATAAGTTTTCGACAGTCTTGCTTCTGGCTTTATCGTTTTTCGACGTTAGTTCGGTTGTTTCGTTTACGTGGCTTTTATTAGGGGTATCTGGTGTGGCTAGAGAGGTGGTCGCTAAAATCTGATGCTGATAATTATGACCACCTGAAACAATATTATATAAATAATAACATTTTACTTATTAATCATATTAATTAATTAATAACTTAAAATTAAAATGCCATATTAAAAACCAGTCTTAATTTGGGTGATTTGTACAGATATTGAGACGAGCACTAAAATTCAATAAAAGCGAATTGAACAATATCAAATGACTGAACATCCCTGTTGGCTTATTATTTTGCGTTTTCATCCCTTTCTCTTCATAAATAATTTTTATTTATCGTCGCGGAACTGGCACTAGATTTCTTAACGTTTTTTAATTTGAAGTTGTTTCGTTTTTTTTTAAATCGACAAATATTCCAATAGACGGAACGGAAAACACGGAAGCTCTAGCATTATCTGTCCTATTAGATACGTATTTTTTGGATGATGAAATACTTAGAGTATAAGAGTTTCTTTGTCTTTCAATAGCGTAGTATATAAAATTTATTTCATTTTACTTAACAAGCCTTTCAAAGTAGCGCATATCTGACTGGGGGTTATCCTATAAATTTTGAAACACTGTCCGAAACTATTATAAATTTATTTGTACAGACCAATTATTTGAACTGTAAATGAAGTCCCATATAGCTTGTTATTTTAAAAGCATATATATTAAGCGTAAATGTTACAAAATCAGTGAATTCGAGAAACAATTTGGGAATTATTAAACTAATTTATTTTCGGGTTTCTGACTTATTTTCGAATTTTAATATTAACTTTTCAAAGCTAGAGCGTTTTTTCTGCTTGACGATCCAAGGAAAAAAAATAATCATTTGTTATAGCCAATTTACTGGTTTTTTAATTGCCGATCAATTTCCCAATTTTTTTTACGTCTTGTTCATACCATAGATTTCTTTATAATTTGGAGTAGATAATGAGAATATAGTTACAGTAACTAAACTTAAACTAATAAATTACGCAACGTTACTCGTTTGTACCAGTCGAGTTAATATGATTATTTTTCGATTAGACTAAACTGATTTAAGCAGAACACTAAAACTCAATATAATTTTGGAATTTGTATCGATTTCAAGTACTGCGTCTGAGCCAATACGTTTTTTGAATATCGAAGTGTTATGGATTCTTTTTAATTTTTGTTATCTTAATTCTCATATGTTCAGTATTTTCGATATTAAGAAACAAGACTGCAAAATAACACTAAACTTACATGAAACAAACATATGACGCCTTCCATCGACTGTCGTAAACGGACATTTTTTTCTTTTGCATTTTTTAAGGTTTTATGACTAGATTATTAGAAAATAAATCTTTTTTCGCATTTTAGAGAAAAATCAGCAATATTTTCATACAATAAGCTTGCCTCAGTTTGTTTTTTAATTTACTTTTGTGGTTTCCTGTTCTAGTTTCTCATAAGATATGTGACATATTGGGACTTTTCCCTACTAGTGATCATACAGAACTCGAACCAAATAAATATAGATAATGAGAACGCCTTCTGAGAAGTTTATATAATTTATTAGAATTTAAGTTAGCACAATACCTATAAATGATTTAAATTGAAATATTACACTAAATGGGAAAAGTTGGTGAACTTCCGAAGGAAGTATCGATTTAGACGAGGAAAGCAAGCAAGGTAGAAAAGAAGTGAGCAAGAGAATAAGTAGATTTTAGCGTAAAAATATCTGCAGCTTTTTAAATTAATACCACCAGGATTCAAACACGTTGAGACAATGGACAAGGCAAGTCGCTTAATACTTAATAAAATGTCAAAACGATAAATCTATTATCAGTTTAAGTAATAATTAAATCCTTACATGCATATGACAACAGCAAATCGATACTGAACAGGAAACTCGAAACGCTGAATACGATTCAATATTTGTTTGAACTTTATTTCAGAAGCAATTATTAAACTTCAAATCATCTGATTTATCAAATAACTCAGTCAAAAAATTATTCATCTCAATATTCAATATAATATCGCAATTTGTCAACATAATTTTGCACTTGCACTTATTAAAAAAAGCAAAATTACCACATCTATTTAATAACGGCAATAATATAGCAACGCAAAATGAAAAAAAAAATCCGCTGCAAGTTGAATGGGAACGTTAATGGTTGAACTCTCAATTTTCTTGTAGTCGCAACGTGGTTTCATTAAACGAGCTATAGAAATTGTGGAAGACTTTTTCCGCCAAATGGAATTGATGCCAATGTATAATAATAAGCGAACTTACGAATACTGAACCATTATGAAGCAATAAGTGGCATTATAGTAAAGGCAAATTAAAAATGATTTTTGTCTTTTAGCACCGTTCATCCTGAGTATAATTTGAATTAAAATGTAATATCTGCAAAGGCAAATTTTCAATCTTTTAATCACCAATTTTGAAATGATACTTACCTTCAATAGATAAAAAAATAACCGATCCAAGCAGTGTGTATCCAAATAACACAATGCATATCCCTAAATTGGTAGCAAAGCCAGTCAGAAACGCTCTTCCTTTCCGCTTCGTCTTTTTTCCAAGACAATTGCAGGAGGTCTCAGGAGCTTTTTGCGGCGGTTTTGAAGATTTCTCCCTTCTTAGGGAATTAGTGGTGCTCGGATTGGATTTGGTCACCGCAGGATAGGGCTCATAGCAGAAGTGACCTCAAGAGATAAATATAAATTTAATTAACTATTCCAAAAAAATCCTACACACAGTTGCCCAATCGTTGATGAATTTTTGTTATGAGCAAAATTATAATTTTTTAAATAAAGAAATATTCTTTCAAGCAGTTTGCGTCGGTGTGATGTATAATTACTCTTGCTGGTTTGTTTATCAATTTAAAATTTGGAAAGGTTTGTCATTGCCGTTTTTGAGAAGGGTCAAACGAGCTGCATTTGATATCACAAGTTTCAATATTGCTTTATTAATAATTGATTTCTAATAAATTAGGACAATGTCTGCTGGGTGAATGTTCTAAAACTTTTAACTTTTTATGTGGTGAGTGAAGTTTAACAGCTTTTTTCGACTGAAAATACAAGGTGTTTTTGTGAACGGCGAATTATTTTAAATACACAAACGCTAKATTAAAATGCATTAACGCTAAAATTTGATTTTTATAGAGGCTTACAAATGGGAAGAAAACCAGAAGTTAGTTTGGGATAGATAWATCGAAAAAATAGSGACAATTTCTGTGTTGCAAATTTGCAGACTTAAATAYATAAAGTAATACGTAATAAACTAATAGTTAACTATTAGTATTTCTGCTAYTAGAACAGGTAAAAAATGTCGCAAAACAGGCTTTAAAAACGAAGTTCTAGGAACTATAAAGTTCCATTTAATTGAGGCATGGTAGAAAATTATTTTAAAATCTGATTTGTTTGGAAAGTTAGAATTGTTGGTTTACGTAATGCGAAACTATTTTAACAAACTGAAGTTGGCATTAGTGTAAACTGCGAGTTAAAATAATTTGGTTCTGGCGCAGATATTAATTACAAAGTATTAGTTAAATTAATTACAGATGCATCTATTGGTAACGCTTTAAGATTTGAGAGGTTGCATAGTCTCACAGAGTAATCGTTTTAACAAAACTTAGTATGTCACACAAAGAAACCTGTGTTTCGTAAAGTAAGGATTTTAGAAATATTATTTATGTATACAAATTGTCTAAAACATTAAGTGCGTCTCACAGTGTAGACTTTATTGAATTTTTTTAATGTTAAATACAGTCAAATATGTGAGAACAATGTGAATGTTTCACAGAGTAAAAATTTTCTTTGGAGTAACATATTTTTCTGAATGTATAAATTCCGAACGTAATGTATGAATTTTGACCAAGTACTATTCTGATTTTGGTTCAATATTTATTAAGCACATAATGTGAGTAATTCTGGAAAACTGTTTATTTATTCACTTTTTGTCATATTCATATAAACGTTTAATGAGAAAATTAGTTCACCTCCTAAAGTTAGCCATTGGTTTATTTTTATTAGTTATTATTATTTATTTTTATTAGTTATTAGAGTATGTATTGCAGATATTGTCGAGTGTTACTTACTTGATTATTTGGTTTAAAATTAGAAGCTTATCGACTATATAAGTTGAACTCATACAGTTACTCGTTTTGTCTTGTTTTTTTCATATCTTTTTGCTATATTTACATAATAAAGTAATGCATCTTTCTCCTGAGACATCTTGTTTAATACTGACTATCGACAATCGTTCCCTGACAGATACGTTGTAGATTAATTATTTGATAAAAACAAACAAACTTTTTAGTTTAAACTTCGCCAACTTTTGGAAGTATTAAGCTGATAAAATAATAACTTCAAAAATTTTGAACAGGCATTTAAATTAGTAAATGAATAAAGGATTCTAGCAGTTAATTTTTTGATTAAATTGGTTTCGCATAAATTTGCATCTGTATTTAATATATAATAGTCACTCTAAGTTTAAAGTAGGTATTCCTTACGTCGTAATAATTCAGTGGCGAACAGACAAAAAACAAATTGATATAGGAACATACGAAGTAAAAACATTTTAACGTACCTGAGTCTTTCTCCATTTTTGCCTTTATTTCGGTTCTCCCAAAGTCATTCGATTCCCATCTCAATAATTTCTTTTATCATGGCGCTTCGCATTTTATTAAATTAGTTCCGCATAAATTCCGTTCTGGGCTCCATATCTGATTTGAAAAGAGGGAAGGTCTAAGAGCCCGCGCCGTTCTTCACTTTGGTTAAAAATGCTCACAAAATAATTGTTTCCTAACTTCAAGCAATATTACGTCAATAGGGTGCCAGATTTAACTGCGAGGGCCTGAATTCACACCATTTTCATTGCTGGCAATCTGAAACAAAACGAAATGGTATTTAACTTTCGAAATAATAAAGAAAATGTTGTGAAGACTGGCTTATCCATATACCTACGTTAAGTGTATATTTAATTTATTTATGTTAACATTTACTCGCTTTATATTATACGAAAACACTTGATATTTACTTTCCAAATTTTTTTTTGAGAATTTTCACTTGCTTGACTTTGGCAAAGACAATGAAATAAGTGAGACTGAAGCAAATGAAGAACGTTATTAATAAAATTATGTTGGAAGTCGATATTCAGATATCTTAGGGCTGTCCAAGATTTTTCCTGCTTAGCGGATTATTCAGAAAATACGCCTGATGCACTTTTGTAATGTCTTAAAAATCTAATCTAGAGAGTATAACTTTAAGGCAAATTTGAACTAAGAATGTTTCATATTCGTGGAACTACTTGGTGAAATTTTCAAAACATGTCCACAATTTTTCATGCAATTTATATCGTACAGCAGTTTTCAAAAGAGTTTTCATTTCAAAGCAGTTTTAGAAAAGCCTCAAAGTTTGGTCTTTTATTTGCCTTATGTTAATCACAATGCGCACAGTGAAAAGTTCGCAGCTCTTTCAAACGCTGGTATGTACATGGCGTGCGCTTAATAACATCTGCAGTTACTTTGAATTCGAGGTAACTTTTTGTTTAACATAATATTTAACGTTGTTATGGTTGCTTTATAGGTTTTCCCGGATATTAAAATGCCTCACAACGGCTCTTGTTACGGCGCTCATTTTTAACATGCTTTTTTTGTCCTTCTGTGCGCCTCTCTTACATCCCAGAACTCAAATGGATCCAATTATAAGTTGAAAGTACGAACTTGAGAAGTTCTTTTTTTCTTGGAAAGGTAAGTTATTTAAGTAGCTTATAATGAGGCTATTAATATTTTGAACTGGAAAAGTTTCTCCATTAGTTGAGTAAATATAAATATGTCCTGTCAATTTTACTTTAGGATTGCAGAACTTTTTAATAGCCAACCGCATCTTTTGGCAATCAGTTTTTCGATCCATAAAATTTGTAAATAGCAGACAACATTTTGGGCACGCAAAACTAGTCTTAGCCAACGTCATCGTTGGATGTGTTTGTTTTGTGCAATATTGGCAGCAAAAAAATATTTAATTGCATACAAATCTTTCATGTTATTGCGATTGAAATGCAATATTAGTTTCAATTTTGATTATTTAACTGATATTTTGGAGATATGTCTTATTATAGATGAAATTCTTAAACAATTGCATATTTTGTGCATATGTTTTTTCGCATGTTAAGTTGCAAGTATTTCCTACGGTAGTAATTTTATTATCGCAATTTACGTCAACTTACTGCTAGTCTCCTTATTAAGTTTATGAGGCCACACGTTTTATATTAAGCGCTCACCTCTAATTTATTTCTGAACATTTCGCCGGTTGCCTTGAGAATATCTGAGAAAGCAAAGCTAATAACATTATATTTGCTAAGATACTTTATAACCACATTTGCTGGAGGAGGAAATTCCTTACATTTTTCGATATGTGGAGCGAGTCTTTTGAAGGTTATATTAAATTATGCATCCACTATAAAAATAAGGGTTTTCCGTGGAGAATTTTGATTATTTCTAATATTAAACATTTACGGAGCGGATACTTAAATAGCTTTGAACTTTTAATGTAACTGATAAACTAGTACCTACTAATGAATTGAAAAAAGTTTACCAGATTATATGTTTACGCCTCTACTTTGTTTTTCTTTCATTGAGGTTACATTATGACCAAACTAGCTTTCAATTTCAAATACAACTTTTCCCGTCAAGAACAGATAAGCCAATCTACTCCAAATCGCGTTTACTGAAGAACTCCATTTCCGAAACTTACGTTAACCTTCACCGTAATTTATAGAAAGTTTTATTACCATTTTATAGGCCTTTTGTCCCTCAAATTGCCCAAGTAGTTCGTAAAATTACATCCGAAAGGGCATTGAGGAAGATTTTTCAGACTGTGACCGGAGGAAAGTGGTGTAAATTCATTCATTTCACTATTCTTCACGTTTTGCCTGAAACCCCCACATTAATGGAAAAATTAGAATTACAATTTTATATTGAGGCAGTAGTGGTTTTAATAGTGTGTAATACTACTTCACTAAAATAGTCGGGAAACCTGATAAAGTCTGATAGCCGATATATGCAAAATGAATATTCAGTTTATGTCCTCAGTTTGCGCTGGTATTGAAAATACAAAAAAATTAAGTCAATTATAATAACACTGATAAACGGTTTGAAAATATTGAGCTTAATAGACCAATAAAATTTCCAACACACCAATTATACCTGGGCAAAATAAGCGGCGTAGTATTCGTATACTTAATTATAGCAAATTAATTATGTTGCTGTTGTTCTATCTACTGCCCATAAAACAATGTTTAAATAATTCGGTCTCAAAAACTGGATTTAGTTGCGAATACTAATGAAATAAAACTTACGAGCTTTACGAGTTATTTACATATTTCAATGTGCAATGGCATTATTTAACATGTTTTTAACACAATCCCACCACTTTCAGAATTATATTAAATGTTTTACTATATTTTAATTATATCGTGTTATTTTCATCTTTTCAATCAAATTACACGCTTAATTTATTTTGCAGTCTATTAGCATGGAAATTAATTAGGCATGTTCAGGAAAATCTGAATATTTATTAAAACTAATGTTGTTGGGATATATTTTATACAGAATGTAAATCAATTACCCACTGCGTGTACGAAATGATGTGCGTAGAATGGTGAAATGAAAATTGGCTGGGCAAAAAATCTCTAAAACATTGTACACAAAAGCCAACAACATAACAATAATACTCCTCATTATAATTGGCTAAAGGCTAATTGTGCTACACCAGTCGCACGCCTCGGGTCTGAATGGGGCGAAAAAAACGTGTAGGGAGAATTCATTCGACAATAAATATTTTGTTTAATTCTTAGAGCTTTATGCACACCAATGGTTTTACTAAATTAAAATCTTTGTTCTTCAAATACAGTGCAGGCTCGATAATTTGGACGAATTAAAAACTCGTCTTGGTCGAGGCTGGTAAATAATTCGGCTTAGTATTGCAGAACAGCTTAATTTCGAAACGATTTACGTAATACTTACATTATTTGTCTGTAGGTACACAACAACAAAACCAATAAACATAAATTTATGAAAGAATGAATAACGTAATGTAGAAATTTGTTAAATAATTTGTAATTTTTTTTGCTTTGCTGTTTTCTGGTTTAAAATAAATGTATTTCCAACTTTTGAAAGCCAGAGTCAATTAAATATAAAGTGCGGTAGATCACATCGAGTGGTTTTTTCTGATTTAATAGATTTTATATATAATAAATATATTTTTTCATAGAGGATACTTTTAGCAATAGAATTAATAATTGTTTTTAGTCAATAATTTTCTAATTAGTAAAATTTCCTTCTGCTTTTTCAGACGACATCTATTTGTGGGGTAACCATTTGCTATATTGAACAACCCAACAAATTCTCCTACTGCAGAATAAGGGAGCGCATCTAAAACGTTTCTACCTTTTCCCTGTGTTTCTAAATAAATCCAGAAATAAAAGGCTTTTCCGGCAAAGCAAGTTAGTCAATTTCATCCCATTCTGATGGATAAGTAACAAAAGTGCTTTGTCATTCTTCTACAGTTTCCTATTAAGCATTAATGATGAGAACACGTAAGGACCTCAGGTCCGAATCTCCAAATATTATTAAATCGGTACTATTGACAACACAATACTATTGGAATGCTTCTTCTCATTATCGAAGAATTCCGTTTACGGAACGTCCAAATTATCCAGGTCACAATCTCTATTAAAAAGGCTACATTTGTTGTTAACGTAAAAAATATCCATGCGTTTTGTGAAATATTTTAACGCTGTTTGCATTTGCCAGTACCTGAAATCAAGTTTATTGGCATAAAGGCTTATTGTTGATAGAACATTGTTTTTAGACTTGCCACATAAACGCATCAATTATTTAACAAATTTTGCTCAAATCCTGTGAATAATATTCCATTAACATATTTATTGCCATAATAAATGGCGTTAAATGTATATCTACATACATTATGTGTATCTAGTTGAATGAAATAAGCTATAAAACATGTGGTATATTACTATTGTATGTTTTCAAAATTATTACTTTTTCCTGCTCTTGCAATATTGAACTAAATTCAACAGCATTTAACAAACTAAAATGAATACTATAAATGCGACTGGCATTAATTAAAATTTGTATTTTAATTATTTTAATATTTCAGTGTTTTAAATAAAATATAAATTTACTTTTAATTAATGATTCATTAAAAGCGATAAAAAGCAACGTTACTACCACATGCAGAGCACACAACATGTTGCTTTTTTTGGATGTACTAATAATATATTTTGAATAGAATCATTATTTTTGTAAAACCTTTCTTTCTCATTTCCCAGCGATAATTTAAAATTATCAAATACATTTTTCCATATCCACAACAGGTTCAAGTCAAAATGTGTATATTATTTTTAAGAAAAAGTAAACTCAAAAATATATTACGAGTTAATATTAACAGCCGAACATTTTATGTGAATGTTCTTTTGCTCAAGAGTCATCAATCAAAACTCACTCGTATTTTATGAAGAAACAGACACAATATACCATAGAAGCAATGAAAAAGAAATGAAATATTGAACGTGCGTGTCAGTGCAAGTGATAACGCTTCCGGAATAAAACTGACTTTTCCTGTGCCACCCATACAAAACTTCGTAATATCAGCTTTTTGTGAGCTATAAACATAAACCAGAGTGTCTAAAAAGCCTGCTGTATAGCTCGAATGGCATGAGGGATTTGTTTATGAGAACAGTTTCAATAAACTTCATCTGTTATTAAACTTGTTTTACTCACTTGAAATTTTTTCTTTTCATTTTTCAATTTATTTGATCCAATATATCAGTTGGTTTGGATTAGTTTGGGTTAATTTTCCCAACGATACCAACCATCGCCTTATAAAGGATGCTTTTTACTGGTACTGGCTTTATTGAAAAGAAAAAAGGAGGCGCGCGCCTGTCTCAAATGAAGAGCAATCCACGAAAGAATGACCATTTTGATTCCACTAGGTCATAAAAAAAAGCACATCAAACAGTGGGYWYRTCAAACAGTGGCYATAACGGCGTCTCAATAATGGCTTTCGGATTTTGRATTTYCATCGCYCCYAATTCGRCAATTTATTTCGAAAAATCTCTCTTCGGTTCGCCAAACTCGCCATGCGCTACGTTCATTTTACGATCGACTTAAACGTTTTGGGYTCAATGGTTGCGTAAATAGACAAAATTGCCGGACGAAAATCCAGAAGGTATTATTGAGAMCACGTTATATCCAGAAAAACTCACTGATTTTTGTGCTTTATGGTCTGGRAGAAGTTTRGAAGTGGTCGAAAATTGGACTTCCAAATTGCTCTTAATTCGAGCCAGCCGACAGCGCATTATATCCCAAATCATAATTAAGCCATAATGGCATAAAACTGCCTTTTCAATAAAGCCAGTACCATGACGTTAACATTATTTTAGTGGGTTTTATTTCAATTTAAAGTTATATACCTCTAAACAGCACCTTTTACCTGAAAAACGAATCCAGTCCAACAAAATAGTTAATTTTCTAAATCACAAGAATATGTTGCGAAAGAGATAACCTAAGATAAATTTTCCTATTTTAATAGAGAACTTCCAAATGACTATTATTGTAGCAAGAACTTGATTCCAATTTTGTCACTGGAAAGAAAATTTTGTCCAAAGGATGATAAAAATCTGAAATTTTCGATTTAATTGAGTTATCAGTTATAAAATTGGCTGGTACT